CGCAATCTGTACTATTTAACATGCATGTCATTTTTACAGGCACGATAAATAATGATATAAATTACAATCATGAAGTATCATAAATTAATACTTTTTCAAAAGTTTCAATTGTTCGACTAGTGTACAAGCAATCAGAACAGGTTTGTATAAATGTGAAATTGTAAACCGTTTACTAAGGTCACCATCAAAGTTGAGCGACAAACCAAACTTCGTTCCGTTTCCTGGTGATAGTTATGGTCAACCAGTGAACAGCGTATATTTGGGTGAGTGCTATGCCGCCACGTGATTGAACGCTATTTCAGGAAGAGAAGAAAATTCTGCGCAACTGCAAAATGGTAAAAAATGTGATTATGAATAATATATTATTGGAAGTATATTTGCAAGATAAATACGAGGAGAGGAAGCTATATAGTACTTGAAATGATGGTATATATTTGCAATGTGTAATGATAACCATATTGGTCTAAGCATGGATTCTATGATATTTTCGATGAAGATATAGCTTTGTTCAAACATTGGTGTTGTTGCGTTTTTAATCAAAGCAACCAGATTTTAGCAAGCAACAAATATGAGCAAAGAGCAAGTTTTACCTAGGTAGTTAACATAAAGTAGAGTATAATAGTGCGTAAATAAGAGGATTATTGTGAGGTTGGTAAGTGATATTTAAGTGAGGAGTGAATTCAGAGATCTGGGAAATTAGAACCCGTATGACAAGCTGACCTGTATGATGTCTCATGAATTTCTGTAGGGCCCAATATGTAGCATCATGACAAGAAGCTGAACAGTCTCGTAGATGGTAAGAGCAAAAGCACTTTTTTATTTATAATTTAGATCTGTACAACCCTTATTATTTTATATTTTGTTGAGGGTACAAGGTAATGCTTAATTCTCGAGCTGTCAAAAAATGCATATTGTTGTCCTACAGATCTGAGCGATTCATATTTGTGACCACTACCATATCTGCTGATCAGCATGCGCCAACCTCCCTCCTATTTGATGTTAAGCTCTGAGATTTTTTTGCAATCACTGTAGTTGCAGCATTGCATTGCTTCGAGCCCGTCCCAATCATACAGTATGCTGTACATTAATAGCTTCGCATTCGGTCACCAGATACATCGATAACTGAGGACATTCTTAGCAGTATCACCTTTATACATGCATACAAGTATTTGTTACAAACGCCTAGGAAATTGCGTTTAATTTAAGAAGTATAAAGTGTAGAAGTAGCTAGTATTACAGCAACTAAGTTATCGTCTATTTAGCAGAGTGAAATGAGTAGTGGAGCAATTAGTGACAAATCTATGTAGAATGATCCTGAAGAAAACAACTGGTTAACAGAACTTTCTTTTTTAATGCGAAGACAATATTTCTATATTTCTAGATGTGCTCCATTGAATGACTTGTAAACAGATTGTTCCCACAGTCTAAAGATAAAATGGACAGCAACCATGTAATTTCACCATAAACCAGAGTTACCTAATTTAAATAATACTTATCCATGACTGTACGACTGCTGTGTCCTACACAGTTAGGAATACGCAGGTATTTTTTATATTGGTGTATTACAGGACTACATTTTTCTCTCATATGTTTTGCTTCGTTAGAGTCCGCCATATAAGTGATAAGTCCATGTCTTCTCTCCTATTTACCGCACCCTATGTGATTAAAATATGCAAGGCTTCAGAGATAAACCTTTCTTTAAATAAAGGAAAGCCTCTTCCTAAAGTTTCGACATTAAAGAAATCAATCCTGTGTCCGCTGTCTATAGCATGCATTGCTGTAGCTGATCATTTTTCGACACTTTCTGATTACGCTTGACTTCAAGGTGGACGTTTCGTGCACAATCTGCGTTCATTCACTCTGATCTTTACCTGCAAACCTCGGTTCCCTACATAGCAAGCCCCACTTCCTAAATACTTAATCCTATTGACACAGCTGTTTTGTGTCATTTCGGAATCCACATCTTTGACATTCACCAAAGCTTTCCTTAAACAATTAGAGGACTTGAAATAGACTTTAATATTATATAAAGCAGGTAATCTTTGGAGTTTTTCAGCCGTCTCCTTTCAACATGGAATAGCTATCGTCAGTAGCCAAGATTTTTTAATTTTATGTTTTCCCTTAAGCTCCTTTTATTGATAATATTATCTAGCAGTTTTTTTCGAGTAACCATTTCCAATGAAAATTTGTTTTGTATTTGATATCTCGTTCACTATCCATCATTATCTGTTATAATGTCTCTAGCGAAGTTAGCGAGGTTTAAAGCCACTGAATTCTTCATTTTTATTGGATGATCTGATTGGAAATTCAAATTCTTGTTAAAATGTGTCGGTTTCCAGCATATCGTGAACTTTGGTTTCTCGTCAGTTTGTCTTTTTACAAGACACTCAAGAAAGTTTAGATTTCCCCCCATTCAATTCTATTTCATTGGTAAACTTTTTTCATTTCGAGATTAAGTTAGCCTGTGTTAGAAAGTTTACTTTTCAGCTTTCTTAATAATGATAAATGTGTCATGTACCTATCTGCACTTTATTCTAGGATGACAGTTAAAACTTGTCAATGTTTTTCTTTCCAGAGCTTTCATATACAGATCTGATACAATTGGAGATGCCGGTGGACCCGTTGCAACTCCATTTATCTGACAGTATAGCTTGTCCCCAGTGGTAGAATAGGTAGGATCTAAACAGAGTTTTAAGCATCTTATAACGTCTTCTATTGATAATGAACATTTAGATAATATCTCCTGATTGTTTTCAAATTCATATTCTATACTATCAACTGAATCACATGCGGGAATACAGGTAAATAGAGAAATCATATCAAAACTGGCAATAATTTCGTCCTCTTCAATAGCTATATCCATTACCTTTCTTTTTAACTCCTCAAAAATGTTCGCGTTTTGAAGAAATATTGTAGTGAAGTACTCTCAGTGTTCTTGATATGTGTTTTGACAAAGTGTATGTTCCTCAATTGGCGAAATCAATTATCGATCCCGAAGGAACATCTGTTTTGGTGATTATCGGCCTTCCATTAACATCTAGTGACCAAGTTTGTTTGTGGAGCTTTTGAAAACCAAACTGAATGCCCTAGTTTCGATTTCAGTTCTCCAAGTAAACTACACACTTGTGCTGTTGCGCTGTTCAAAGTGTAACAGTAGAAGGCAAGACACGGAAGCGAAGGTATATTTTCAATTCATCAAACTTCCATTTACATATATACAGTTTAAATTCCTTAACCAATCACTGAGCGTGTGATTTTAGTTTACATTAAACGACATGAAATAGAGTGTTCAAATACATATATTATTCTGTCACTAATGCTCTACTGAACTGTGGAGATATGTGAGAATCATATTCCACCGGAACACATTGTTTGTACCACACCATCACAAGAGTACTAGACATTTTGTTTATTGGTGCTAGTGAGTATGGACCTGCTTCGATATGTTCCATAGCTTTCTTGTCATAGTCATCTCTACTGGGAACCAGTGTGATACTTGCCTTTGTCAACTCCAGCTATGATACTGGATTTGTCTGATCTTAATTTTTGTAATGCATGACGTTCGTTCTTCAAAAAACTTGTGATTACCTGCTTTTGATTTGACAGGTTACATCCAACCTTACGACTCCATTCATTAACTCTATCACCAGGTAAAAGGTTCAATGATCGAAGCCATTTCTATATTTTTCAGCGGTATTCTTATACGTTAAATTTTAATCCTTTCCCAAGTAACGCCAATTCATGTGCACACTCACGCAGACAAACACGCATATATGACAATTTGATATTAGTCATTACAAATATGTGATGACTGTTTACACTTTTATATTGGTACAAATGTCTACCGACGAGTGACCTTTGGAGGAACTGACATCAATTTATGTGATTTTTGACTATATATTTTTGATGTTTAGTAGAATCTGAATAATTATGCTGTGGCTTACACAGCGAAACGTCCAGGAAACAATTGTTTTGATTTTTGCTCAAACACACTGAGATCGTTTTAAGTAATTTACAACTCGTATTTTATCTTCTGAGAGCTTTCAACTTGATTGAAAGTAGAAGAGTATATAGAAGAGAGTATTGGCGATCTCTATGGGTCTCTGATCAAATCCCTTATCTGCTAACAGCATGATAACAATCATATATATTCGGATATTCAGTGGATTGGTCACACCTGGAATTGTACGTGATAATCTTTATAAATCTGTTTTTAGTCCCCTTATTTATTAAAACGCTGGCCACTTTGATTCACGCTTATCAACGAGATCCTGAGGCTGCAGACTCCGGGCGAGCGATCGAGTCGTATTGCTTAATTCCTGACTGTTCTGTATTTACCATGATTCCTGGAAATGGTGTTATTGCCTTCATACAATTTCTGATGCCTATAAACTATAGCAGCCCAGAACTAAACTACCTAATGAGATGGCTTACTGCCTTGAAAAACCAATCAGATCAGTCCATAGTATTATAGTTGATATTACAGATACTGTATATGAATTTCGCAGTAATTTTCATCCAAATCTAGTATTTAAGTACTACTTAGACGATAGACTTATCACCCCTGGGCTATATCCACAATGTAGTCGGTCATACGGACGACGTCGTTAGTCCTTTCTATGGGACTCATACAAATTCCATGGTTTAACCTAATCATGAGAACTCCTGTGAGAAATTTGGGGGTTTTCTTAAAACATATATTCGGAAATTACTCTGTGTAACTACTTTCTATTATTGCATTCCCAACATATAAGCGTTTTTCGCAAGTTACGCACTTTTATTTCGGACGCATCAGATTGGTCGATGGAAATTTTACAAGCTCTTTACTGGGTAGTTTCGTTTCGAGCCGCTGTGATTTAGAGTCACCCAACTTCTTCAGGAGAAGAACGCATAAAGTCGAAATTTAATAAAAAAAGGGTTAACGTGAACTTGAACTTTACCATTTCCAATCGAGATCGTAATCTGAGTTTTAGTGGACGTCGTGACACTTTCAAATGTCACGCTACTTTTGAGTAACTACTACATGTGTAAGGCATGGTAAGTTCGGCGGTTTTCTAATATTCAAACTATGCTTGTCTACTTTCAGGTCGGCTACGAAGTGTGCAGGGATTGGTTACCCAAGACGAGGCAACGGATGACCAATAGGACTGCCCTTTCCCTCTCATCTAATTGTTTTGTGATAGGTTGTAAATATAATCCTTGACCTTGAGTCTCCGTTCTTACTAGCACACGACACTTGTGTGATCACACTGCTAACGTGCGCTTTGCTCTCTATTTCAGATCATTGCTTGACGAGTGGGATTACACATGTGAGTGACCTCTGTTACCACCCAGTCGGTGATTTTTTTTTTTGGACCTGGGATATGTGGGTAAAATTGGTTGCATTTACACCATCTTTTGCCCACCTTTTTGCCGATCAAAATTACCCGTTTATCCCATGTTTTGCCCACATTGCCCACGTGCATTAACCGACTGGGCATCCTCAACAAAGCTTTTGGTCTCATGGACTATTCAACACCTTTGTTGAAAATGCACATATTGTTTTTCTGGTGATGGGCATAATAGTAATCATTATTATTCTCGTAGTTTCCGAGCAAAACACAAGCATGCACATCGTCTTATTTTGCAGTCGTCTTTAGTTGGCTCGACGAATGTCCACAAGCTTTCGTCCCCTCCTCACACGAGCTGTTCCAAGTCACCTGTGGCCCCGCACCCAGCTTTCTGTTCCCCATTCGGGATGCACACGAGAGCCTAGCGTGTGATATCACTGCAGTCTCAGGATGTGTCCGATCCGTCTCTCCTTCTTATATACTTGTTGTGCAGTAGGTTCTTGATGGCTTCGCTGTTAGTGTTCCTTACTACTTACTTATTCCCTGTGGTCATCTGATTTTTAGTTTGGTACCAACCAAGGCAGTTGTTGGTGAAAATCTGCAGTACTAAAACTTTTGTGGGGAAATGATGTAGAAATGCAGCATTATCCACCAGAAAACCCGTCAAAATTATTGGAAAAACCCCGAATTATCCCGGAAGACATACCTCCCATTTGCACAAATAAAACAATGGGTAATGGGGAAATTCCTATTTTGTATAGGCTATAATAGATTTATACATAGTGAAGCGTTAGTTAGAAAATATTACTTTTAACATACGTACAGTTTTTAAATTTGTCACGTCAAATATTCATGCATTTCTTTTGATCCATTGGTCTGTTTTCCTTTCTGATTCAATGTCTAAAGTGAGATTCTGTAATACAGAAATAAAAGACATTAGTGAGGTATGTATCTATGCTTAGTCGACAAACAAAGTAGGAAATGGGTTCTCACTCACCGGTGATAATTTATTATTTGCATTGTGACCACCGAATCATGCTAAAAATTAATCAAAATTTAATTCAGAAAGAATATAGTTGTGTAGTATGAGACTAATATGAATAAGCCGAAATGAGAAACCAGTAACATTTAATAACAATCGGGATTATTTTCCTATTCAGCATGGCATATTTTTTTTCTCATACATTGTCGGAATTTATCTCTCAAGTCATGAAGATAATTCTTTGTTGCTGCATCTTTTTTCTTCTTGAACTGAACTTCATCTTGGAATTCTCTGGCAAAATGTGATTTTATTAGATCTAGACGTCAAGATACTTGTTGAGTGCCTACCTAATAATTTGAAAGGAAGCAGAATTCCTTAATCCAGGTTTCTTCACCTTATCGTTCAATGTGTAGTATACTCTGAGATGTGGATGCACAATGCAGTTCAAAATATTTCTCATGCTTCTTCTAGCTTTAGTAGATAGAAAACTGCTCAGGTGCACAATCTGCAAATGTTTACATTTAAAGTGTGGCTTACGAAGGTGTCTGTTCTTATGATATCTTTCAGTGACTGGTCGAAGAAAATCAAATCCTTCTTAGTTTCAATAGGGAAATTCTTATCAAATGAATCAGTGAATTTTAGCACCTTATTCTTCAATGACCTTTGCTACTTAACTGAAGCTACTAATTCTTCAGTTAACTTGATAGGGTCATTGATCGCTTCTGAAGTCATGTAGATGAAGGCCAGAAGGATAATACACTTATCTGAATTCGACCCCACAGTTTCTTCAATTTGTTCATTACGTCTTTCGCAACTACTTGTTACTTGAATTAAGTGATTACAAATCACAACTTGGATGTTCCAGCTGCTGAAATTGGTGACGAAGTTTTAAAGGTTGGACACTGCTGGAAGCAAAAGTGTGAAACAAATTACAAGTAAAAACTCACCTGGCAATAGGGAAAGTATCATCACTGGACATATTAACTCTAGGATATATAGCGGGTTTACACCCAACCTGCATTTCAGGTGTCTCTAAATCGACAGAATTGTAGGGGGAGCTGTTATCTGTGACAGCCTGCCTGACTGTAGCTGATGCTGTCTAAATAGGTGAAAGATGCATCATTCATATTTCTCTCGTTTATAGTGATTGGTGGTTGTTATTGTTGGTCAGGTTGGTTGTCTTCATCACCTGTCTTCTGTATCTTCACTTGAAGTTCTGCTTTCTCTGCCTGCCTCTCATGCCAACTTGTTGGTTTTCTCCCGTCGATTTTAGACTTTGTGTGACATCAGACACACTGCTCCCATGATGTCCAAATCTTCTAGTCTTCTTGTCAACCCGCCTCGTTCTTCCTTCCTCGTACCCCACGGTCTGCCACATAATGCAGTCCACCAAAATCACGAATATCATTGGTGATAGTAGGCAACCTTATCTGACTACTCTCTCCACTACAATGGCACCTCTGAGTCTTCCTTTGTAAATCACTTGACACGTGGCATAATGGTATGGGTGGTGAGTGAGGTTGACAGAAGTTTGGTCCACTCCGTAGTGTTGAGGCAGTTTTCAAATGACTTCACAGTCAGCTCTATCGAAGTCTTTTTCAAAGTTGGTGAAGTTGAAGTAGAGATATAAAAATGACCATAAAATATAGATGTATTCCATTCTGAACCCTTCTCTAACCTCGCGGTTGAAATCTCACTGGTGTTCTGAAATTGTTTGGATAAGGTCTAGTTACTTTCATTTTAACGTTTTAATCAAAAATCTCTTCCTGTTTTTAAGCGAGAGTGGCCTTTTGTGTACACCGACACACGTAGAGTTTGCCGTCTATTATTTTTGACGATTTCATTCTCAAAAGCTGTACAATCGCCTTTATATACATAAATAATAATTGTATCTATGTAAACTTATGTATATAAATGCGATTGTACAGCTTTTGAGAATAAAATAGCCGATAAGATATCTTTACTGAACTTCTTTTTCTTTTCTCTCTATTATTTATGACATCAAGTATTTCTGAAGTAAACGAGTCATTCACGTTTCTTTCCGTATTGCTTATCATAGGTGCTATACTTTTCTAGTCAAATAGTGCTATGTTAGCCAATTATCACGTAACATCTTTTTACACTGGGTTCAATAAACAAACGCCATTTTCAAGTGAAACTGAATAGAAACCGCTAGACGCTTCAGGTATTGCATTTTGCCATAATTGTCGAATGTATAGCTAAAATTACTAGTAATTGTTACTACACAAGTAGATTCATTTCTCTCATGTTGTTTATGATACCATGTCGAACAGCTATGGAATATTAACGAATTTAATTAGCGCTTTTTTGACATGATAGTGGCTGAATGCTATCGATCTGTACCTCATTAGCTTCAGCAGTTGTCATCCACCCAGTAAAGCCTGAATAAACCCCATTACTAATTAAGCCCTAAAAATAAGATTTTACCCGCTCTTACATAAGGTGTGTTCGTAACATACCGGAAAGTGTTCTCGAACGAGTGTATTGTAAGCCAAAACATGATTTATTACTCAGCTTGCTTTTCGATAAGTGGTTTAATATGGCGTTTGTATGCAGACCCTTTAATCCACAAAATTTCCTAAACCCTTAGTACGGGGTATTCAAAAAATATTTGGTAGCTGGAAATATTCCATCAATGATGTTTACTGAAATGGATATGTTAGCTACACTCGTTCACTTGAAGTTTTATTAAAAAAATGATGTCCTGTTTGTTTTCTTAGTAAAATTTATTACACATACCGTAAAAATTATTTGTTTAGAGTAGGATGTTTCTTCATCATAATTTTCCTTCTTGTGGTATAGTTTATTTACAGTGAGATATAGTGACATATCTGTATATGATGTTAAAATATGGTTGTATTGCTATTAGTGAAGTCATAGAGATCGCCAACTGGGTTTCTGTCCATGTTAATCAACATCAAGAATTGATAGTTGGAACTTCATTATCAGGTACTGGGCTGTGAGCCCCATACATTGTATGAGGGCTGATCATAGTACCCAGTAGAAGTATGTGGAGCGTGATTCAAATCTGGGACTCATTTGTTGGAAGTCAAGCGCTAAATCCAATAAGCCACATCAGGAGCAACGAAAGAGATGAGCAGCAACAGATTATTGACTAATAAAGTAGTAATCAACACTTACAGCTGAACTAGGCAAACTAATAATTAAAGTTTAACATTTCATATTCAAATTTCTTAGTTATTACTCATCCTTAATTGGAAAAGGGATATAATCCATGACTCTAAATCTCCTTTCTGGCTTACTAAAAATATGCTGTTTAAAAAGTACTAAGGCAACATACAGCATTTGGGCTGATCAGTTTGCCTGTGGAAAAGTAAATATTGCTTACAAGGAACCAGGGTTCTCATAACTCAGTGACACTGAGTAATAAAGAGTTATCTTTAGATTTTACAAGGCTAAGCGGTTTATCCACTACGATTGTGACACTAGCTAACTCTGATATAGAAAAAGGTAAGTCCTATCCGTACTAGTTTTCCGGTTCAGTACATTAAAAAAAGTTTAAAATGTATTTGTTACTTCTTTTCTTACAGCTAAAATGAGCTGTCCAACTTGTGAAAATCGTAATCTTGTTGAAGATGAAAACACTGGACAACTAATTTGTGCAGAATGTGGGACAGCAACAGGTGTTTTTCGAGGAGTTACACAGGTGAGTCTTAAAGGCGAAAATGCTGATTTGTAAACTATGGTTTTGCAACTAAATCTCTCCTGGTTTTTTTAACTTTACATGTCCTAGACAAGGTAGAAGTAGCAGTAGTAGTATATCTATTATTTTGTGTCGCTGCAATGAATTCTTTCCAACTTTCAATTGGATATTTTGAATGCGCGACCCAGTAACCATAAGTGTTGCAAAACAGTAGTCACTTTCGTTGATTTTTAACGTTAGTTCTGGAGACATTTATCAGCGGGAAGTTTTTATTCATTCTTATAAATTATTTTATTTATTTATATTTTTTGTTATTCCTTGACTTTCCCAGTGGAACATAGGGCTTCAAGCCAGAGCTTCGACATTTCGGTAGCAATGGTGTTTATGTTTATGGGGTTCGGTTGTTAGCCTCATGTCCAACCTTCCCTCTCTACCGACCTTACTACTGTCTTAGTGAGATAAAGGAGTGCGTCGTCTGGGGATCGAATGCCGGGCGGAGTACATCGACCGAGAAACGCATTACCAGCATAGCAACATGAGTTCAGGCAATGTATACAGATTAAATGTAGGCTCTTATCTAACAGAAACATACATCGTGTCTCTTATTTTCGGTCAAATTACAGGCAAAGGGATTTGATATATGCGATTGCATTAAGACTCAACGTATCTTGGTCTTTAATGCAGATATTATGGCACTTGTTTTAAGTAACTAGCATTTGTCGTTTATACCCCTACTATATTGTCGAAATTACATGGTATGTGCATAAGTGACAAATTAGCCAATATGATGATCCGAATAAACCTTAAATGTCACTATAATTGTACAGAGTAAACATCCAGAAGTAATAGTATTTCTTGCTACCATCTCTTTTTTACAACTGACCGGTGGAAAAATGAGCTGTAGCTGTTCGCATATGCTTCTGTATTACTCTGAAAACGTCAATTAGAAGTAAAATATGACACCTCATATTTTAAACTTCCAATATCTTAATCTTATTGTTTAACTAGAGGTTGTAAAAGTCTGTTATCTTGAGGTGACTAGATTCCTCGATATTATAGTATACACAGTTTTTCTGGATGCATACGTTTTGTACAGATGTAACATAACAGAGGAGACAAGGGTGATTTTTATGGATGAAACTACAGAGTGGAAACACAAAATGAACTAACAGCGCTTGTCAGCATAGTCATAATTACGCTTCTTCTCCACTTAGTTTCCCTTCTGTTGAACAGTCGATTACATAAACATTATTTCATAACAGCTTGAATGCTTGCATTTACACTTTATAACTAATCAAATTGCAATTCTAATACATGAAGTCAATGAATAACTTTTGAAAGGAAACAGAATATCAACTTGCCAAAGCAAGCGGCATATCATCATTGCCCCCATGTGTAGTTCCAACCTTCAATCCACTCACTGACTTTGATTTATTATTATTATTCCCTTGGGTTCCGAATTAAATGTACTTCAGGCTTTAATTTGTTTACCTCTATTTGTGGTTACTGAAGGTTTTGAAAAAAATTGTTCATTGCTCTGGTATCCATATGTTAGTATTAAAAGAATATTCAGAGTTATGAATCAACTTTTGCATATTACTTTTACGTGGTTTTAAATTCAGTTGAACTATCAACCTCTGATCAAAACCGCATGTTTTACTTAATCACGCAAACGTATATATATGTACGACGGGTGAGATTCGTGATCTAATTCACTTCTTTTATTCGACAACTTACCCTGAAGTAATAACTTGTGGCATAAACACTTCAACTTCAATTGGGAATCATCAGAAATTTTGTTCACCGTCTGAAGTATACAAGCTTTTCAGTTCTTTTTTCGGTTTTGTTAGTTATTTCTGACTACTTTTTAAAAACGTTTTGGGGCAAATTTTTGTGCTATGTTAACGTGTTTAATGCCATGAAATACACAAAGACTTCCTTTTTTAAGATGTGTCCTGAAGCAAGATCAATAAATTCAATCAATAGCCACAGGATTCATTAATTTCTATCACAGTACAACACCAATCTTGTTTGTTTTTATATAAGTAGTCATATAACTGCTCGTTAGTATCTGACGATTTTAATCTGGATTTTAGAAAGATCTTATACTTCCTCACAATGTCCACTTATAATCAGATTTACCCTAATGAATTATCTGATTCATCCTGGATACTTTATAATATTTGTAAGCAATTTAGTTGGATTTCATTCGCATATTTTTGTAAAATCAGTGAAATCCTGTCAGCTTTAAGAGATTTATAGTCTTTATAGGATCTCGTAAAGACCTTCAATAGTTCATACATAACGTTAAGTTGTGGTTTTTGGAAGTTACTTATCGTGTGATTACATATGAATCTTGTTGATGAAAACCAATAAATATAGCTTATGTGCAGTGCATAATCCCTCATAAGTGAAATTATTATCTACTTTGGTTACAGGATTTCATCATGAGCTGACATTGGTCAGAGAAGCACTGGTAAACCAGCTGGGAGTACTGGACAGCTGTTTCGTCCTAGTCCGGGACTCTTCATCAGTACGCACCCACCAGGGTCCGAACCCAGGACCTTCTGGTTACAAGGCGAGCTCGTAGACCATTAAGCCACTGGGACCCGATCTATTGGCCCATAAATTCTAACCTCTGCCAATTCACGACATTGCGCAACCGCTAGCCAATGTCTTCGGCGAGTATTTGTCCTCACACCCGACCTGCTGCACCCTACTAGTCACGACTTCCCAGTAGAACCCAGGTAACTACCTACCTGAATAGGGCCAGTCGCCAGTGAGGAATCAATCAAATCTCTACAAACCAATACTTGGATATTATCTACTTTACTGTCTTCCATAATGGTGCTTCGATTATACTTTTTGATTTGACTTCTACAAAAACCAGTGATTAGGAATATACCAGTCGCTTTTGTCTTGTTTATTCGAAGACAAGTTGTCGTGTTTAAAATTAGTTAAATATTGTACCATATTCTCATTTGGTATAGTAGTATTCAGATTAAGCATTAGTAATACAAGTGGTACCAATACATTTTATCTAATGACTCTACTTACTCAATATTATTAATTTTCAAGGATTGGTTTCGTAGGGATATTTTGTTTCACTGCATGGAGGATTTCATCATGAGCTGACATCGGTTAGAGAACCACTGGAAAACCTGGGAGTACTGGACAGCTACTTCGTCCTAGTTTGTGACTCTTCATCAGTACGCACCCACCGGGGTTCGAACCCAGGACCTTCTGGTAACAAGGCGAGTCGGGTCCCAGTGGCTCAATGGTCTACGAGCTCGCCTTGCAATCGGAAGGTCCTGGGTTTGAACCCCGGTGGGTGCGTACTGCTGAAGAGTCCCAAAACTAGGACGAAACAGCTATCCAGTCCTCCCAGGTTTTCCAGTGGTTCTCTAACTGATGTCAGCTCATGATGAAATCCTCCATGCAATCAATACTACTAGTTATTTTAATTGTTTAAATTCGCTTCACTCAATTACGATGTGATGTACAATATGAGCTATATATTATGGATGTCCACTTATGGTGGAGCGTATTGTCATTTTTCAGGCAGTCTAGATATTTCATACGGCTGTGAATTTTAACATTTTATTGTAGATTTTTAATTTAAAGGTACTATCAAAACATTATTCCCAATTGTATATTTTCAGTCTCAGGATTTCTGTGAAACTCGTGGATTACGTGTAATACAAAAGCAGTTGAATCCAGTGAATGCAGACAACTCGGAAACTTTGGATGTGAAAATAATTGAAACAAATAGTACCGTTAATCAAACGGCAAATTCTGTTCCTCGCAATAGGAATTGTGATACATTAGACGACTTGTTCACTTCGGATGATGTAGATATCATCAATATAAGCCAGAAAGACAAATCCAAAGAGAAAAGTCGGCCATGGCGCCTATCGGAACCGTTTACAGTAAGTCTGTTTGTCGATCGATGTATACTGATAGGGGAAGTCTGATAGTATTAGACGAGCTGTAAGGCTATTCAAATACAATAGAATAAGCGTGTCCAAAGTCTATTTCACTCATAATCCAGTGGATTAGAATTAGAATAGCTTAACAAGAGTATTCTTTCTGTCAGCCGAAAGGAATTTTAAAAAAACATGCTTGTAGTCATAGAGTTATTTCTTCCTCTAACTAATATTCTTTCTACCTGGAACCTACATCGATTTTAATTGGCTCTCAAAGGATTCAATGATTATATACGGCAAAAGATTCCCATAATAAGATTAAAAAAATTCGTAAGGCTTTCAGTAGGATTCAGTACTTTCTCAATCATAATTATAAACACTAGTGTTTCTTATGATCCGTAAAGTACGTACTATATAACTCACTGTTTATCATCATTCTACTTGCTGATTTAATAAAACAGAAATCAGAGGTTATATAATACTGACTGATGACAGATTGAGACGGATTTCTTGTAACCCAACGTAGAAAACTGTGATGCTTGAAATCAGGTTGAAGATAAATGCGAATTACTCTTGAATGACATTGGATGATCTTTTTGCTCTGTATCACGGATAAATGTCGGTTGGGAGAAATTCTAACCTAAAACCTGTGCTAATTTACGTACCCTGAGATCTGATGGTCCTGAGTTTGCTGAAGAGTATAGACTGAGGATAAGAAGTTGTCAAGTGTTCCTTGGTCTTCAGTGGTTTTCAGACCATTCTCTTACCTTAAGGAAAATAAAAGTGTGAACGTCGTCGTTAGCAAAAAAACTATTTATGTATTTGTTATGATTGGTTCTGCAGCTTCCGTGTTACTATCACTGACACCGCTTTCATATACACTAAGCTTTTTTAATCGATATCTGGAAATCCAAAGTTGGACATTCGTTTTATGTAGCTTACTTATAGCTGTCATGTTTCATTGTTATGTTTGAATTTTTTTATGATTTTGTTTTCTTTACTATACGCAATTAAAGCAGTTTTATAAAACTATTATCACTACTCAGCAATAACTATCCATGTGATTGCCTATATTATCATCGGTCTTTTATTTCACTTCAATCGGCTTCTAGTTTATAATGAAATCTCAAGCAAATAGTTTAGCAAAAGAGTTAAACCTATCAGACGAAGAGAAGACAACGTTGTGTGATGCTGTCTGGAATATATGGCTTCATTATTTGGCTATAACTGGTGAGCTTGGTTCTGATGCTTGGCTAGATGCAGCTGTTGCCTTGACAAAATCAATTAGTGAGGTATATCAAAGCAAAATTGGTTCATTAAAAGAAGGAGACAGGCCTCGTCATAGAAATCTACGAAGATGTAAAGAAAATGTTCGCTACTGTAATTCTACGCCTTTGCTGTATGAAAATGAGTGGGAGTTTATTAGAACCCGTTTAAGCCAGTTACAATGGTTTGGTTGGGGTATGTTGTATGAACCAGATGAAGGCCGTGAAATCGTTAGTATGCTTCATGTATCTCAGAGAAAGTAAGCAATTGAAAGAAATAGTCTATACTTACATATATTGTTATTAATATTACTTAAATGTATAAGAAGATAGTCCCATTACTCAAACAGTTGACTTGTTGCTGATCGGTTCTGAATTAAACTCTCATCCCACTTTCTCTTGTCTGACGACCAGAGTAGTATGCTACATAAACTGTCGTACACTCATTAAAAAGTCTTTTTTTCCTTTTATATGTCCTTTTGGTATCTTTTTCGCATAATTAATATGTTCACGTTTTGTCTATGTGATCGTCTAAAACTATATTGCCTGCTTTGTATATTGGGAAATATTTGCGGATATACTGCAGAGTAGATTAACTACAATATACATATATACACACGAATGGTATTATTGTCGGATCCTATCTCCAAATAGTGCCAATCTCTCTCATCGTGCCACACAAAAAGAACTCGAAATTATCATTCTCTTGAGGAGAATAATAATTAAGATGATCCATAATACTCATTACTAAAAATGGTAAAAGTATGGAACCTGGCAACTAGCATACAACATTCGCGTTTACCTGTTCACCATAAATCTGTGTTTCAGCCTGCGATCACTGATGTTTGTTTGCCGTATTGCAAATTAGGTGTACAACTCTCATGCCATCTAAATTGCCTGGTTATAGTTTTAACTTAGTAACCCTGGGAAGGATTTTTCATTTGCTAACTTACTGTGTATACGACACAATCAATCAGACTGATTTGCGTGGAGCAGAACTCCAGTTCTGTACCTGCTAGCTAAAAGTTAAGTGCCAAAACTAGTGGGTTACAATATTGTCTGCTCTGTGTCAACATGGTACTTAAAGGTTGGTTCAAGTAGTCACTACTGGTACACAGACTGCTAAAGGTTTAATTTCAGGCAAAGGTGTATTATTTCAAGTTGGTAAGTAGAAATGGAACGTTATTTAAATTGGATACGGGTATTAGCGTGGTATTAAAAGTGATCGTTATTGAGTATGGTTCATTGACGTGCACTTGTTCATTAGTCTGCTTTTTTCACAAGAGGTTTAGACAGTCGAACGATAGTGTCATTCATCCTCATAAATCAATTATTAATCATAGATGATGAATCAATCTGTGCATGAATTTTAATTCAGGCTGATTTCAAAAAGTTGTATTCCACTAACCACAAATATGTCGATCTGTTTTTCTATCTAAATAACAAACTCCCATAGAGACCTTGACATTTAAAGTTTTCTAAATTTTCAAAAGAATGGATACTGAACAAAGAGTACTCTTTTCGATAACTTCATCATCAGGCTCTACAGTTATAGTGAATGAATGAATTAGTGTTATGAACGACATTAATGTTTAAATAACATCGAATCAATAATATTGATAGATTACAACTGAACACCATCAACATAAAATAAGCTAAATGTCAGAAAAATTAGGAAAGATAATATTACAACTTCATGAATTTATAGTCTCTACTGAAGGCCAGGGCAGTAGTAGGGGCTGGACTTGCTTCTTTTGAACACAGAGCACTGGTTGTTTGAGGAGAATTACAATAGCCTTTGCTGTTTGGAGCATGCGGTGCTTCGATGATTTTGGTAATTTATTAGGCACCCGGTATATTATAGAGAAGGATTCTTCCACACTGGCTTTGTGGCCGGTTTGCACCAGATAGTCCAATATCGAACTGTTAATGGTTTTCACTACACCTTTATTTACCCATTGTGGGATATGTTCTTGAGCACAAAAAATCAAGTTCCTAGAGCGACGACCAATATAACTTGCCCCACAAGCGCAGTTGAGATGGTAGATACAATTTGAAGTGGCAAGTCTAGGTACTTCATCTTTCAGTCGAGGTAGCACCATCGGTCGTGTGGAGAATAATACGTGTAGTTCACCAGCATTAAAAGTTATTTGAACTGATTTTCTTAATTCCCTCGTACTTATCTCACTTGGTATATCGCCCATGAATTGTAGTCGTATATAAAGTGGCTTCTTGTTTACAGATAATGAGTAGTCCTTTTCCGCCTTCTTTGTCATATGTTTCTTGATAAATTTGTCGGGATAACCATTTTCGATCAAAGTAACATATACAATGCTTAATTCATCTTCAATTACTTCTTCTGAGCATATAGCTCTAACTCTGTGGCTGAGGGTCTTCATTAAATTTCTTTGTACTTTCTAAATTTACAAGTACATGAATAAGAATCGAAATTACAGGTATTCATAATTGAATGATGAATCAAGGTAGAACTTTGCATAAAAAGGCATCAGTTCAAGATGTTACATTTAGAAACACAACGCATAAAATAGCAGCGCTGAAGCTTAATAATACTGTGATGAGAGCTGGTTGCTAGCCTAATTGGTAGGTAGTAATTTACGTCAATGTTTACGTCCCCAATATTGGTCGTGAGAAAAATAAGAACAAAGACTGTTTCAACCTTCAATCACAGCAGGCTTTGCGTAGGCGGATACAATTTGCAGATAGATAATCTGAACTTCATTCAATAAACGGCCACAAAGAGATGAAAGACTAACGTTCAGCGAGAAAGCACCAATCAGGAGACTGTGTTTGTTTGCTTACAATAATCTATAATAATGTACATGAGAATCTATAAATATCTGTTGATTTCCTAAATAAACGATCTGTTGCCTGGCCCTTGTCTTTTGTTGTTACAATGCTATTATAAAAGACATGTGCTTGATAGAGAGGATGCTTAAATAAGTTAGCATCAGTGAAGAAGCTGAGGATTAATGCCTTCTTAAATTACTTTCAGCCTGTTCTAGATAACATATACACCTACCCACATGGCTCAAACTAATAACCAGTACACTGCTTCTGTGTTTGTAATTACTTGTTCTGACTTTCATTTGTTTTAAACCCTGAACACATGTTGTTGTGTAAAAAAAAATTAATTTTGATTATAATAGTAATAATTTTATCCTCTGTTTGATTAGTGTCATGTCAAATGTTATTCATACTGGAGTGCATTATTCTGAGAGGGGTGGTAGTGAATTCGTCACGTAATATTTAATGAAATCCTTGTGCATATTTTACTTAAAATAAGAAAGCCGTGTGCTCACTCATCATAGTGATGATTATACTATATAAAATTTGAAGCCTGAACAGTTATCATTTCCATCTTGAGGTAGAATTCTTCCTTTTTTTTTCATATCTGTTTCATAAACATTGTCCATGAATGAGGTATTTAGTCGTTAATGTCTGTCTATCGTAGTGGGGATCTTCACACACACACACACACACCCTTTTATTATAATTGTGGATACAATTTCTCAGTATTTTCTATTTATCCCTTTTTTTGACCACTCAGAAGTAAAAAATTAGCTCGTGAAAATGCAAAGTTAACCAGACAACGTAAACGTAAACGCAAATCAGATAGTGATTCTAGTTCAGATGAAACCGACTATTTTTCTGATGAAGACAATGTCGAAGATCGCAGTTTTACGCCACGCAGAAAGTCCAGAAGTCGTAAGGGGTTAGAAGATTCTAATGAAAAAAATGTTTCTAGTCCAGTTAAGACTACAGATTCCGGTGTTTTCCCCATCATCAGTTATGAAAAGTATACTCGGGATGTATTAGCACCATATTTTACCAAAAAATTGTAAGTTTATTTGTTGTTGTTGTGTTTTTTTGTGGTTAGAATTTTAATTTTACATTCAAAATTGGTAAGATAGAAGGTAGGGAAAACTTTCATTAATCTGAAATTAGTGTGGAAATCTACTGCAATTAGCATAAAGAACAAGATTCGGATTTTCAACACCGATATTAAGTCAGTCAGTTCTTCTATTATATGGTTCAGAGATTTGGTGCGTCACGAAAAGAATTTCCAAGAGGCAACTGAGACTTTCATCAACAGCTGCCTTCGTTCCATACTGAAGATCTCGATGGATGACTAGAAAGGATTAGCAACAAGGAACATTGACAATGAGCCAACCAAGAAGATATCTCCTGATAAATATGCAGAAGAAAGTGTGAGATGCGTTGGACATACTCTGAGGAGACCGTTGAGTGACATCAGGCACTGGGCTCTAGAATGGAACCCGAAATGGGAAGTGACCATTTGGATGTGGGGCTGAAAGTGACATAGACGAGTTCATGTGAGGAGGAGATGAAGTCTTTTGAGCAATTGTGGAGTAAACTGACCAGGATGACAGATAACAGGATGAAAAGGATGTGTTGCTGAAACCCTGTGTTCCACTGGGAACTGTAGGGAATAATAATAATAATAATAATGGTTTTAATGTCAAGTTAATATCTGTCGAAAATTTTATTTTAATCTAAATCTAACTCTCCGTGGATTTTCTTCAATGATCATACCAAATTTAATTGATGAACACAATTTCACTAGGTGATGTACTTCGACTATCAAATAAGATGGATAGCACTTTAAAGCTTATTAAAAATCTTCAATTCACTGATCTTGTTTCAGGATTTTCCTCATGAGCTGACATTAGTTAGAGAACCATTGGAAAACCATTGAGAAGTCGTGACCAGTAGGGTGAAGAAGGTCGGGCGTGAGGACAAATACTCGCCGAAGACATTGGCTAGGGGTCGCGCTATGTCGTGAATTGGCAGAAGTTAGAATTCATGCACTGGCCATTGAATCGGGTCCCAGTGGTTTAATGGTCTACGAGCTCGCCTTGTAACCAGAAGGTCCTGAGTTCGAATCCCGGTGGGTGTGTACTGATGAAGAGTCCTAAGCTAGGCTGACGAAACAGCTGTCCAGTGCTCCCAGGTTTTCCAATGGTTCTCTAAATTATGTCAGCTCATGATGAAAATCCTGAAACCAATCAAATCCCTACAAAGTAACAATTGAATATCACTGATCTTGTCTTGAATTAATTATCAAATACTAGGATCTTATAGCAACCAAGTCGTTCAGTCGTGATGTATGTTGTCAGTAGCTGGATTTAGAGCTTTTATACATCATTCTAATGATTTTTTGAGGGCTTATAACGGATTAGGATCTGTTGATGCATTACGACTCTTTTGATGAGGCTCAAGACATCCATTATCAGATATGGCTCAGAAGGGGAATAAATGAGGAACATACTTCGCTTTTTTCCGCCTTTTTTCTCTCTCTTTCTGAAAGTAATCTGAAGTGATAAGCACTCCTTTGAATGCTTTTTATTGAGTGTGCTTATCTATTTCCATTCTGCTGGCCAACAACTATCGTATTTCTTCTCTTGCTTTATCATTTTATATGGTGCATCTCTTCATGCCCATATTGTACTAAGTATGTTTTAAATGAACAATAATTTAGCGAAGGGAATTTTCTTTATCGACGAAATCATCTTCAGAAGCTATACATTCGTATTTATATTCGCCAAAATGTATAGAAGTCTATTATTTTTTATTGATTCCAAGCCGTATTTTTGGTACAAGTATGGAATTTTCAGCATGTGGTATCGGTAGCCCAAATTTTGCAGGCCAACCATTGATATCAGGTATGCGTCGGCAGGGGATCAAACCCCGTACCATGTGCATGATCGGCGAGAGTCGTAACCGCTGTGCCACCGACATAATAGGGGGTGACATAATTGATAGAATTCCTGAGAAGTGGCTTTAGAAGTAAAAATCAAAGTTGTAAATTACGTGGTACTCAACGGCAGAAGGAAGAAAGGGTTGAAAATTTGATAAGATTAAAATTGCTATTGAGTGAGAATGAAGACAGTTGAGTGTCCAAGTGTGAAGAGGGTGAGAAAAGGAACATATGAGAGTGATAATAGTGAATTAATTATTAAAGTAAAAGCAAACTAAAAGTAAAATTGAAAATTGAAAATAATTTTTTTTACAAGGAATGACTTGTGAAGAGGTTAAGACCAAGTTAGAATAAGAGACTGGACAAACTTTTTCTGTATACAGAGTTCGGGGTCGTATTGACGAATTACCATCGCGCCTGCCATACACAAATGCCGAGACTTGACGCCCTTCTTACCATTTGGCCTCACCTTGTAGATGATCTTGAAAGATAACTCTGGTGTAGTTACGTGGCCTGATTTCACCAAGTGCTCGAGAATTGAGCTGGTAACTTTCTTGCATTGTCCTTTTTCTAACCGTGCCGGATAATGTTCAGAGATGTGTTTGGAAATGGTGTGCTTTTTGCGGCCAACATAACCAGCTCCACACAAGCAGGTGAATTTATAAACACAAATTGAAGTGACCCAAAGCGGCAGTTTATCCTTCACATATTCATTGATCATTTATCGCCTGTAGAAATTGATACATAGCTCAACCATAAAGAAGGCCTTCCTCAGTGATCTGCATAAGCGATTCTTCAGGATCTCAGCTGCAGTATCACCTTTAAATTCAATGTTCATAAATAGCAGTTTCTTCGGCACCGTGTGGGTTCTTTCAGGCTTTTGCTTTAACTTCATGTTTTTCTCGATGAATCTTATAGGATATCCATTCTTTATGAGAACTTGTCTGAGTCGTTCCAGTTTCCTGTCGATTGTAGCACTGGATAAGGAGTTAATCAGGTTTCTCTTTCTTCTCAAAGGAACCCAACTATAGAAATTTGTATATTGGCCATTCCAAGTTGGTTTCCTGTAAATCGATCTCTGAAGAGAACCACCAGATCTCCTTTTAATAATAATATTAACAAAAATAGTAATAGTAATAATAGCAGTAATAATAACAATAATTTATAGGCTGAATAGGAAGTTTTATTTTCGTGCATCATTTTTTTTGTGGTACACATTCTCAGTTGGATATTTTACTCAATTGGAAAGTTTACTCATACAGGTCTTTAGTGCATCAATTTTTCTTCACTTGTAATTTTTTTGGATAAAAATATTCTTAAATGTGGTTTTGTGGTTTTGTTTGTCCTGTGGTTTTTTGTTTGTTTTGAAGGCCACTGTGTTGAATCGAGTGTTCCAAATTATCTAAAGAATAATGTAATTGTATCATGTAATTCACTTTCCATTCCATCTTGTCCATGGCACTGTTGTACACTACACTTTTTAATGATTCACATTTGGACATGTGGCTAAGTGTTCTTCACTTAAAGGGTAAATTCTTTGATTGATTGGTTGGAGGATTTCATCATTAGTTGACACCAGTTAGAGAACCATTGGAAAACGTGGGGGTACTGAACAGCTGTTTCGTCCTGGCTTTTGGACTCTTCGTCAGTACGCACCCACTGCCAAGGTTCGGACCCAGAACCTTCTGATTACAAGGCGATGTTGTAGACCATTAAGCCACTGGGATCCGATCCAGTGATAAATTCTCTGGTTATTATAGAGTTTACCAACTTATAGTGTAGATATAAATCAATATTTGTAAATATTTACTGAGTTTAATTGTTTTTAATTACTAATAGATTTAGTAGTATTGAATTCATTACAAAAACACACACATACAGACACTTTAATTTCTCGTTTATTTTCAGATGTCGTTTACCAGATATGAGTAATTTATTTTGGCGTGGTCAAATGGAAGGCGGCATTACTTGTCGAGGATTACTGGAGCATAATATATCTGTTTTGTTTTTTGCTTGTTTAACTACAAGTCCTATACGAAAAGCATTCAACCCATTGTTTTCATCAAGTTTTATGAATCCTGGCTTTCCAAATGTCCCGTATGCACTTAGTACAATGATTACTTTAAAAGATTTATTAGACTTGTGTGTTAGTCGCCGTTTACCCTTTATAGCTGTAAGTGATAACATGTATAATACTCAAATTATATTCAACTTATATATTATTCTTAGATTGTTTAATATATGCACGCCTTTTGTATTTTGTTTTGATATTTTGAAATAAACGAATTATATTAAATTGTTGACTTAAGCTCAATACTTATGTGTGATTTATTTTTAAAACTCTGATATTCATGGAACTCATTTGATGGTCACCAAATGTTGAATGCTACTTTCTTTAGATATTTGTACCTTCTATGTTAAAAGGATTCGAATTCGATACAGGCCGCGTGATGATGTCTGTCTGTTTTCGACATAGAACTTTGCACCGATGTGCGGCAGTTCGAGTCGCCACACTCCATGTAGCACGCAAAGCAAGAGGAGAAAGTAGAAGAAATGCATAATAGAGACAGTAAACAGGGATATGAGACAAAAGGAATAGTAATAACGAAGAACAATATAGTTCCATTGGAAATCATAAGTCACAAGGAGTGGATGCATCTGCGCCACTGAGAACGATTTTGAGCCATATCACAAATTGTTCCCAGCCATTGGTTTTTACCGTCCCGAGGACCCCAACCAGTCAGGAAGTCTACACCTTCCTACGTGGCTAGCTTAAACTAACTGTTGTAGATTCCATTGACTGGTGCCATGTTTTAGTTTGACCGCCGTTAGCTCTTTTCCAGCCTGACCCTACATCAGCTAACATTGCCCGTCGAGGAAGGCGATGGCTAGACATACGTAACATATGTCCTAACCATCTCAGTCGATGTAATTTCACAGTCTCTTCGATTGATTTCCCAGCCTTACCTAGCGCTCGACGCCTAACCTCAATATTGCTCACCTTATTATGCCACTTCACACGGGAGATAGAACACAGGCACCTATGATCAAAGACAGCTAATCTTTTCATGTCCTCTACTCTCAATGGCCAGGTCTCACAGCCATAAAGGAGGACGGAGCGGACTGATAAGCAGTACACACGCCCGTTGGTCGATAGTCTGGTATCACGTGATGATGTATTTAATGTGAAATCCCTGATAGTTACACAATGATCACAAACACTTAAATGATTCCTCTGGTTTGTTTCATATTGAGCTCTAACTCATTTTCATCCTAATGTTTACCCATCTGACATTAGTTGTCGAGAAATTCCTCGGGTTAACATGCAGAGTACATGTTCTAGTCACTCTCTGCATCAGATAAAATTCCAAACATTATCACCACAATAACTGCTTAAAGTCTCCTAACATTGTTTCTAAGACAAGTTATCAAGTTGTGTTGTATTATTATGGTTCTATCTTTTATCGTGAATGATAGTTTCTATGCTGAAATTTCCCAACCGACTTCTTAAATGCAGATGTGAAGGTATGATTCAATGTTTTAAACACTGAACCTTCCGTCAGTGGATCTGGGGTTCGTATCCTGCCCCACCTACTTCACATTTTGGGCAACTAGGTAGTAGTATAACAAAAGAAGACAAGGGCCAGGCAACAGATCGTTTATTAAGGAAAATCAACACATATTTATGATGTTAATGTACATTATAGTAGATTATTGTTAGTAGAAAATACAGTCTTTTGATTGGTCGTTTCTCACAGAAAGTCAACCTTGCATCTCTTTGTGACTGTGTCAGATCATCTATATTCTAACTGTATCTGCCTACGCAAAGCCTTTGTTCTCATTTTCTCACCACCAATATTGGGGACATAAACATTGACGTCAATTACTGTCTACCAACTTCGGCTAGCAGCCAGCTCTCACCACAGTAGGCCATATACAATAAGTGTGACTCATAGTCTGATACATAAAAAAATCTGATCTGGGTTACTGAGTCCTAGCTCAATGCATTACTTTGTAAAATATTCTAACAATATTTTGCTTATAAGTCACATCTAAACTCTGTTTATTCCTAAATGAGGCAGTAAGTATTGATTAATGCTGACTAATGGTTTCATGTAGATCGATGTCATGTTTCCATCACTTTTAATAAGCATGTTAAGAGTATTTGAAATATATTCTGCTAAACATTGGAATGTATAATAAAAGCGAATGAAGAACCTGCTCAGCACTCACACTTTTCTGTATTTCGATTGTGCTAACCAGATCAGAGCAGTTGTGTGTTTTTAAATGTTACTATTTTACTGTTATATCTATTTATACTCACGCAGAAGTTTCACTTTTATACAATAGACATTTTTAAAAAAAAAGTATACTTCCTCAATAAATAAATTAAAGTTCTCTATTGTATACTACGCAAACAACTGCATACAGTTTATCTGCTTTTTTTATAATTTGGCTATTATCACATTTACTTTAACTAATTTGACCCTTTTTAAAAAAAAATATAGGCTGAACAGTTATTCCCTCCGGGTGCTTTTTGTATACGTGATCAATGTTTACGAAACATGATTAGACGACTTCGACATCCAGAAATTGAAGTTTTAACGTATGCAACTGTAAGAATGCGTGATTTTCTTGGCTTAAATCACTTTCCAAAGTGAGTTATATTATATATAAATAAATATATATATTACCTGGTGCCGGGTTCAGGGTGATGAAGAATGCTCTGACCCCGGGTGGAGGCTCACCATTGCACCTCGGTGGGTTGAAACTCGCAACGGAACCTAATCGGGTGCGCTTGGGCGTGTAGTTTTTGTCGGTGGGGAGGCCTCACAGTCCTCTCTTTATTTGTGCGTCGATGGCACACAGGTTAGGACTCTCGCCGACCATGCGAGTGGTCCGGAGTTCGATCTCCTGCCGACGCACACCTGATATCAATTGGTCGGCCTGCAAAATTTGGCTACCGATATCACATGCTGAAAATTCCATACTTGTACCAAAAATACGGTGTGGAATCAAGCTATAATCAAAATAAAAATATACAAATATATATATTTTTTTCAGTTCATAATTATATTTGAATTTTTCACAGTATGTTTCAGAAATATGCTTGTATTCACCTGGTTTTTCCTGTTCTCTTCTGTTTGTAATCAAAAGGCTGATTTTCCTTTTATGTAATACATTCCCTTAATATTGAAACAAGCTTTTTAGGTGCATACTTTAATTAGGATATGTACAACAGTATTTAAGCAAGTGTTGGATTTTCTTCCCATGTAATGTAATGAAGTGATAAGGTGTTATTATAGCTTAGTGTGATAAGTAGGTCTTGAAGGTGTTACGACAGTGATCAAATATATTTTGAATCTGTAATTCTTTGTTCATTGTGTGACAAGTTATCTACAGTTATTTGATATCTTAATATCTCATCTTTTCACGAGGATTGTTCTATATACATGTCCAGTATTCTCGTTTTCACAATATTACCTGCCAATCACTAGTTTTGATTAGAATAAAGTGGGTACTGCCCCCAACGAAACTGATTGACGGGTCAATGTAAAACATTACACAGAAGTGCATCACTTCAAGTTGTCACACTTCCAAAGAGCTGCACATCGTCGATTAAAACAGTTGATAACTTAGTGAATTAATGCCATATTTTGATCTGACCACCGCTAACTCTACTCCAACTCAATCCTATATCATCTTCTCCATCATATCTAAATCTTACGAGCGAAACACACTTCTCTCTGTTCGAAAGTGGGAAGAATTCGCCAAAAGGCAAGGATCCACCAGAGAACAGTTATTCTTTCTCCATGAGTGCCTTCGTCATCAAATCCTACCGACCAGTGTAAGATACAAACCACCAGTCAACTGCCCAATGGGATGGAAATTGGTCGAACAATGTGGAAGGCGAATGTTCAAATTAATGATTACAGACTCACATTATCGGATCAACAAATATCAACAAATAATAATTGTCCAAAAAGAAAAACTAGGGAAAACCCTCAACCAGGAACACCTGTCAACGCTGATCACCGCAGTTACATTGTCAAGTAGAAAACACAGAGAACAAAGACGAAGGGTCCTCAAAACCAAGCTAGCCAAGATTAGAAAACAACAACCAGACAATACACCTATTGACTGCGTAGTCAACCTATCAAAACAACCACTATCAAAAACGGAACAACAACTACTACAAAAAGGATTGAACTACAACACCGGAGATGCGTCGCAAACTGATTTCTTCGCTGCCCTTGAATCATTACTCAAATCATCGAACGAGGAAACACAAGAAGAGATACGCCAAACAATTGTACCAATGTTCAAACAGAAAAAACAACATACACACAACTCAACTCTGAAGAACTAAAGGCCTTCAAAAAGCTGAAAAATAGGAAAGACATCGTCATTCTACCAGCCGACAAAGGATGAACAACAGTAGTCATGGACAGGGAAGAATACACCAAGAAAGCTGAAAAACTACTCAAAGACGAGGATTTATACCAACAACTTTCAACAAATCCCAAACAAACATTGGACAACCGCATCCAAAGGACCTTAAACAAGCTCACCAAAACTGGACAGATCACAAAACAAGACCAATGGCGAATGAAATCTAATGGCAGACCCAACATACACAAACCAAATATCCCACTACGACCAATTGTATCGCTCCCAGGAACTCCAACATATAACTTATCCAAAGAATTATACAGAAAACTGAAACACCTAACGGAATCTTGTGATCACTCCATCAACTCTGCTATCCAATTTCTAGAGAAAATCAAAGGCATCCTAATAGATGAACAAGAAATAATGTTATCCTTCGACGTCACAGCATTGTATACCTCAATCGGACAAAAACTAGCAAAGAGGACCATGGAACAATTACTCAGCAACGACGAACACCTCACACAACAATCAAAAATGCAACACACAAGCTGGATGGAATGCATAAATCTATGCCTAACAACGTACTTCCAATTCAACGGCCAAATATATGAACAAGTCAAAGGAACACCTATGGGATCGCCAATATCAGGTTTGATTGCAGAAGCAGTGATGCAAAAGCTCGAAAACATAATCCTACCAAAGATCAAACCCATGATTTGGATACGTTACGTAGACGACACATTTGTAATAATCAAAAGAAACGAGTTATGTCACTTTTAGTTGTTATTCGATGAAATCAAAGGCGTAACACATATCCAAACCACTTCATTCAATAAAGAGTCATGACCCCTGACATGTCAACTTACCTTGCACTTAATTTTAACATTGCTTACCACGTTACTCTATTACATACAACTAATTGGACATAGGCACTTGTGACTTATTCATACCCTATGAAGAAGCAAATTACTATTACGAAGTTTGTACACATTTTAGTCGAAAGCTTGATGTGACGCCAGTACCGAGAATGACTCGAGTTGAATAAGCTTTTTGTATCCGCACTAACATGTAGTCAGTAATTATTCCTCTAGTGTTTATGTTCAATACTATAAGTACTATTTTCTTAGCCAATATTACCGACAAGTCTGTTATACTTTCCAATAAGTTGCATTCGAAAATTTGTCCTGAAAATTATTTAGCTGATAAATGTCTAATTAAAATTCGCAATAGTTTTTGTTGTCATTGTTGTTGTTGTTATAGTGTCTTTTTTGTTATTTAACACTAGATATCCATTGATTTGGCTTGTACATCGTCATATAGTTGCTTTAGGTCTTCCAGAAATTATGCATGTATTTGTAAAGCCTTTATTAGAAAGATTACATAAACAATGTGTTGCTATAAATGAGTTAGTACAACGTCCTTTATTACATTTTATCCAATGGCCTCGAGTTGTTCGTCCAGAAGTATTTGCAATGGCATTCGTTGTTATACTATTGCGTCTTGTATTCAAATTCAATGATACATTTGAAGTAAGTTACCTTTTAAAGCTAATTTTTTTATTTAGGTATTTATTTATCTTTTTTTTCTATTCCTTTACGTTCCCAGTGGAACATAGGACTTCAGGCTGGAGGCTTGAAGTTTCGGTAGCAGTGGTGTTTATTTTTACTGGATGGGGTTGCTAACCTCATGCCCAACCTTCCCTCTTTACCAGTCTCATTACTGGCTTAACGAAGTACTGGGGTTAGTCGGCTAGGGATGGAATCTCGGACCACATGAAGCGTGGTTGACGAGCATCCTACCTATGTGCAACTGGCGCAAGTTATATATAAATATATTTTTCAAGAGTTGGTTTGTAAGGATTAGATTTGTTTATACGAATTTAACCACAGATTGATATCAGTTACAGAACCATTGAAAACCAGGGAGTACTGTACAACTATTTCACCATAGTTTGGGAATCATTCTCAGTACTCACTCACTGCCAGGGCTCTAACCCAGGACCTTCCGGTTACAAGGCAAGCTCGTATACCATTCAGCCACTGATACCCGATTCAATGACCAACCCATGAATTCTAACTTCTACCAATTCGTGATATATTTAGTGAGACCACCAACCAATGTCACTGGCGGGAAATCCATCTTCACACTTGACTGGATGAATCTCACTGGTCACGACTTCTCGCTAGAACTCCAGGAAACTCCGTCCTGTGCGTACTGACGATGATTCCCAAACTAGGATGAGACAGTTGTCCAGTACTCCTTGGTTTTCAGTGGTTCTCTAACTGATATCAGTCTGTGGTCAAACTCATATATATATGACTGTTTTTTCTCCATTCCCTCGCTCTCAAAGTGAAGCATAGAGCTCCCAGCTTAAGCTTTAGCGTTTCGGTAGCGGTGGTGTATTTTTATGGGATAAGGTCACAGTAGTATCACGTCCTAAGCTTCCTCTGTATCAGGCTTGCTTCTGGCTTATCGAGGTTTAAAAATCCACCGGCCGGCAATAGAATCTGAACTACACACGTGACTGCTAAGCATTCTACCAGTGAACTACCAATCCACTGTTACATATAATAGCTAATTAGAAAATTATAATTTCTTTTTGCTTTTATTCATTTCAATTATTGATATATTCACGCGTACTTTTTTAAAACTAACATCTTATGGTATGGTATGTGAGTATTATTTTAGGCAAGAAACAGATTTTCATACCATTAACAGATATAAAAAGATCAAAGTGTCTTCAGCTGACTAAAAATATACATCGTGCGTGATACTCCATTGACGGCTATAATACCCTATAAAGATTTTCAGTTAGTTCGTTAGAAACTCAGTACCAGACTTAGAGACAACGTCTTTTTTGAAGGCTGATGATACTACTTCGTTACCCCACCCCAGCAGTTGGTGTTAGTCAGTAGCGGGAGGTGGAATTCGAACTCGGGACTTTTTTGTTGAAAGTAGAGTGCATAAGCCAATGAATCACATGTATGAAATAAGATCTTCACTGGGGTACAAGTATCTTTTTTTTATTCCTTCACATTCCCAGTGGAACATAGGGCTTCAAGCTAGAGGCTTGAAGTTTCTGTAGCAGTGTTTATTTTACAGGATGGGGTTGCTAGTCTCATGCCCAATCTTTCCTCTTCACCAGCTTTTTTAGTTTTGCCTTAGCGAGGTAAAGGAGTGCGCCGGCCGGGGATCGAACCGCGGACCATGTGCATGGTCGGCCAGCGTCCTAACCGCTATGCCACCGACGCACACAAGTATCTTTTAGTCTCTTCTTATTTATTAAAACTGAATATTTAATTATTTTAAAGTGTTTTGTTTTTACGGAAACTATTCTGTTAATTAGTTAAAGACAAAATATCTCATTATCTTAATGATACATTGTAAACTCTGATGGTAATAATGATAATTGTCTATTGAAATATTAATAACTTCACCACCATTCAAGACTATTCAGCTAAACAATTATTTCACTTCATAAATTACACTAAAACAAATACGCCGCCATATTGCTTAGAACACGATAAAGTTCATTGTATATTGTCCCCCTTCCAATACTTATAAGCTAAAAGCATTACTGCATATGAGTATGAAAAATTACCTAGGTTTTTTTAATATTTGTGCGTTGAAGTTTCTGGAGCAATTTGTTTAAGTTTTGAGGGTGGAGTTGCTAGCACCACGCCCCAACCCTCCCTCTTTACCCGAGCTTGGGACCGGCTAGAAAACTAGCGAGCTAGAAATTTAGGCAAGGTACCCCAAATCTACAGCGTACCCCAAATATTCATCAACCTTATTCAACAGCTGTACGACAACGGCACATGTCAAGTGATCCACAACGGAAAACTCAGCGAGGCGTTTGGAGTAAACACAGGAGTCAGACAAGGGTGCTTATTATCACCAATGATATTCCTAATTGTGGTGGACTGGATTATGCGTCAGAGAGTGGGAAATGAGAAGACAGGGATATCCTGGACCGACGTGAAGAACCTAGAAGACCTGGATTTCGCGCGTGGATGATTTATGTTTGATGTCACACAAAATCGAAGACTTACAAGCGAAAACCGACAAACTGGTCGAAGAAGCAGCAAAGACAGGACTCCAGGTGAACATAGACAAGACGGAGGTTATGAAAACAACCAACCAACTACAACAACAACAGCAGTAACATCCAGCGCCAATCACCATCAACGGGAGGGATTTAAAAGAGGTTACTTCTTTCACTTATCTAAGGAGCATTGTCTCAACCACAGGAGGAACGGACGAGGATGTCAAATCGAGAATCGGGAAGGCGAGAAACACATTCATCAACCTGAAACCAATCTGGAAATCTTCCGCTGTCACTCAGCATCAACAACAAAATTCGGATTTTCAATACAAACGTCAAGTCAGTCAGTTCTTCTATACGGACCAGAAACTTGGCGGGTCACAAAGAATATTTCCAACAGTTTGCAGACCTTTATCAACAACAACTAACTGTCTTCGCTCTATACTGAAGATCAGATGGCCGGAAAGAATCACCAGCAAGAAACTGTGGGAACAAACAAAACAAGAACCAATCGCTCAACAAATATGCAGGAGGAAGTGGAAATGGATTGGACACTCGCTGAGGAGGTCGCTGGGTGACATCGCGCGTCAGGCCAGAGCTCGAGTGGAACCCAAAAGTGAAGCGTCGAGTGGGACGTCCAAGGGTGATATGGAGGAGATTGTGTGAAGAGGAGTTGAAACGGTATGGATTAACATGAATGCAGGTGAAAAGTACAGCAGGAGACAGAAGCAAGTGGAGACGTGCAGTTGAAGCCCTATGTTCCACTAGGAACCCAAGGGAACAATAATAATAATAATTTTTTTAATAATTACTGGAAATATACTCTATTAGAAAAGATAATAAAAAGAGAAATTATTAATCCAAAAGCTGAAATGAAGAGAAATAGTGGATTCTGTACAATGTAGTCAATGATCGTATAATTCACATTCAGACTACTAGATATTGCTGAGCCTGTTGGGATCCATATTAACAAGCCTAATTTATGCATCCAAAAGAAGTTAGTTCAGACATTATCCTTACTTTGACCATCTAGGTTTGAATAATCCTAGATTTTTGTGGAATTTTCCTTATTTTAATTGATATTCTATTTGCTACTATATCTTTGTTATTATTATTATAATTTAAGCATCTTTAATGAACTGTAATTGCATTGATCTTACTTTACAAATCAATATTATTTAAAAAACACTAATATTGTTATTGACTACTAATCTAGAATATTCCATATATATATATATATATATATATATATATATATATATATATATATATAATTGTAGAGCCAGAAGAAGAATTTGTCGAAAAGCATATTGTTTGCTCAATCATTTTGTGTTTTATAGATCGTATAATTATAACTTGTGGTAATATAAGGCAGTACTGAATAATATGTTTGCCAGATTTCTGAGTATACTGTTGTTCACCCTTTTAATGCAGGATGCATACTTTATGGTTATTAATGGTTAACTGATTATTGACTGACGATATTGCCAAACGTCTGCATACGTTGCATAGATTCCCACTTTTTTTTTCTAATTTCTCAACTGATATAAAGTCTAATGTTACTTGTCTTGTCGATGGTGGCTAACAGTGGAATCCAGGAGGCGCGTTTCTCCTTGTCTGGAACTCATCAGCTGTATATAATTGTACCTTCATTGATTAATGATGTTCGCAATTAGACTCAAACTCAGTACCCATCGTTTCAAAGAGAGGAAATTCTATCAGACTTGTAATGTACTTTATTCTACACAGTTTTGTCTTGGAAATAAATCATTCGTATCTATTAGTTACTTGTTTATATTATGTGAAAACTTCTAGAGTTTACTAGAACATATCTCATGACTAACATTGAAGCTTGTTTTGACAATTATGAGTAGGGCTCAAAGAATATAAGCATATTTAGTTCATTCAAATTTTAATACTATCATTACTTGTAAAACCCCTTTTTTATGTTTATGGTATAAAAACCTTAATTTGAAATTGTGATTACTTATTTTGTTTAATTTATTTTTGTTTGTTTTTTTGTCTACATAACTTATAAGTATCAACTTAGTTCTGTGGCTAGAGCTTTAGAATCATTTCCAGATCGTCCTGTGGAAAGTGCTCAAACCGGTAGTGTTTCACTGTATGATCGACCATTTGTTTGGCTAGCATGGATGCAGTATATTGATTCAAGATTTTATCCATCTCATAAAATTAATACAACTCTATCGAAAAGTGAACGTATGTCGTATAGTAATGAAAAAGTTCGAGATACTAATCAACCGTTAATTATGACTGCTAGACGAGGCAATGAATTGCTCAATATAGAAAAAGCATCAGATTTATTAGGTTTAGCAGAATTCAAAATTGGTCAAGATGTTGGTTGGGGTGAGATAGGTGTGAAAAAGATCAAAGTAGCTAATGTAAGTTATTTTTTTGTTTGGTTCTGCTCATCTCATAGTTTTCCGGTAGTATTATTTTGTTTTATTCTGTTGAGTAAATATAGAGGATTTCTAAAATACTAACTGAACTGAAATGCTCTGTTTCTGTTGAGCTTATTGATAACTTAGATACATTGAATCGTCATTATCGTCAAGGATTCTCCGTTTATTGGAGTTTCTTGACATTTCTTTTGCCAATGTTTATGTGTACTTTTATGAAATGCGGCATTTTGAACTGCTGTAGTTTTGAGCGAAAGTGTACGTTCAGTTTATCCAAACGCATATGTATATATAATCCTTGTTTGGATTATATAATTTTCATCTTGTTGTTCGTTAGAATCTGATCTTCGACCGAAAATAGTTCTGGAACTTTCTGAACACTTTGTATATGTATTCACGAGTGTACAGTCTGGTTCATGACTTTGTCTAAAGGAAAATTTTCTTCTCTGCGACCACCTTTTTGTTTTTCCCTATGCTTTGATGGGTATATTCCGCAGCTTAATTAATAGCAAAGACTGTGCGATGGCAAAGGAACTGAACAAGTCTCTACAGTTGTCCGTCAGATTTACTGAGGCGAATACGAAAATTTACTTCCTTGAGGAATTGCCTAGAGAAGCATGAATATTCGATTACATTTTGAAAGAATCTCAAGCAGAATCATGTATTTCTCAACTCACGTACACTGAAATGCCATTTTCTCAATCACCTTAATACCATGTAATCTGAATTATCTGAACTCGAACAGAATATCTTAGGGAACTCGAAAGCCGTTTATGAACTATCAGCTAATGAACGAACTTTATTCTAAAACTATGCTACTACAGTTACAATGAGGACAACTGATGGTGTCATTATGAAGCTAAATAAGAGTTTGTTATTAAGGAAGCACTTTTTCCTTCTTGTCCTAAAAAATACCTGTTTGATTATTCTAATGTCTCCCGAACAGCATTTCAAATGCAAAGGCATCTAGTACGTGAACTTAAATTTTGTGACGTAACGTCAAAAGTTAATCAGCTGCAAAAATGAAAGTCCAGTTCAGTGTTCTAATTAATCAGTGCGTCGGTGGCACAGCGGTTAGGACTCTCGCCGACCATGCACATGGTCCGGGGTTCGATCCCCTGCCGGCGCACACCCGATATCTATGGTCGGCCTGAAATTTGGGCTACCGATATCCATGCTGAAAATACCATACTTGTACTGGAAATACGGTGTGGTATCAAGCTGTGATCAAAAATAAAAAAAAATAAAATAAATGATCTGATTTCAGTCTCATGTGACGATACAGACTATTTCAAAGCAAAGAAACTATTTGAAATTGTTGTCTCGATTACATTAATGAAAAATCTAGCTGTTGGAGTTTTTTTCTCCAGAGAATATCTATTGGACAATTGGGATTGTCTTGATAAATTTTCCCTGATTGTATCCTAATGACAAAAAATTTCTAAAACACACGTTTCAGAAGGATCCCACTGAACAAATGGAGCTACAACTGACAAAGATATTGAAGGTGATTGATGAACCATTTTACTAGCGCAAAGCTATATAGAACTACTTTGTCCTTCTGGTTCTACAACACCGCGCATGTACTGCTTACCCAAGGTGCAAAGAAAAGATGTCCCGACTCCGCCCAATACTCGATATGATAAATTCTCCATGTCAGTCAGCTGATAGGGATTCTTGGACTGATGAAGGACAAGCTGACGAAATACAATCGTTTGAATACATTTGATCTTGTCGATTCAATGAAGAATGTAAATCTTTCAGATTATATAGTGGTCTCCTTAGATGTCGTCTCTCTCTTCACCAATGTTTCACCGATAGAAACTATCTGTTTTTTGTGTGACTTCACTTAGTCCAATAACACTGATGTCGGCTTATCTATTCATTATCTAAACGATCTGTTATTCCGATGTACTTTCAGCGTTTACTTAAGATTCAACAATGAAATCTATTGTCAATTAAATGGAGCAGCAATGTGTTCGACTGTTTTATAGCTAACATGGAAAATAATGTCTTGTCATCAACAATCAGTAGGTTTCATCTCTATAAGAGATACGTCGATGACACTTTCATGATTTGTAATGAGAATTCGGATCTCGGAAACATACTCCAAGCCTTTAATAATACCCACCCAAACATTGACTTCATTCTAAAAGTTGAGTTTGACTCAATGTTCAACGGCGAAGAAATGTGGATAACTTTCTGAGGAAGGCCTGTTTACAAAAAGTATATGTGAAACGAAAAGTTTATTAATTTTTCTCCGGAATCAGAAAAATATGCACTCAGGAATCTGTTGACAAAGGCTTTCAAAGAATTTCGATAGGAACTGATTGTCCACCCCAATTCATAGACATGAACATGAAATCAAAGAGAGCTGCTGAACAGGTCCAGCTCGCCCCAAAAAAGCTTCTGCTGCCTAGTCTCGAATTTGAAAGTGATACTGAGGCAAAAATTCTCCAAAACCAGTTCTCAAAATTTTTCTGTAAAACATACTTCACTAGTGATATTTCCTTGCAAGAAAGTATTCGGCTAGCAAGTGAAAAGTAAGCTGTCTCGTTGGGCAACATCAACATGCATAAACCAGTTCACATGTTACTGTGGAGTTGGACATACTACGCGTCCGCTTTTAAAACACGCTTGAGAACATAATCAAGCCTAGTTAGTGTAGGTGATTTATAGTTCGGTAACAGGAACATCTTGTAAACTTAGGACACTCAACTCCATTTGAAAAATCCTTCAAATTTAATATAAGATTTCGGAAAAACCTCTAAAAAATGGAGGGAGATCAAGACATTTGGGTATATCTGGAGCATAGGCTATCCAAAAATTCAAGCCAAAAGAAGTATGTCCAACCTTTTTCTTTCCCATAGTAATCGTAAATAGTCATTTTCCTCAATAATTATTGTCTGATTATGTTTCCGATGGAAACTTCTTGTTTATTTTTCTATTGATGATGTTTTATGCGCGATATTCATTCTGTTATTTGTTTTAATTGAATCATCGACCGTGAATAGTTCTAAAACTCTCTCAACCTTTTGTTATATATTCACGAATTTATGGCCTAATCGACGACTTTGTCTAAAGGAAAACTCTCCTCGCTGCAACCATCTTTTTTATTGGTTGAAGTATTTCATCATAAGCTAACATCAGTTGCAGAACTATTGGAAAACCTGGGAGTACTGGACAACTGTTTCACCCTAGTTTGGGACTCTTTAGCAGTACGCACCCACCGCCACGGTTCGAACCCAGAACCTTCTGGTTACAAGGCCAGCGAACTCGTAGACCATTAAGCCACTGCGATCCGATTCAATGGCCCATGAATTCCAACTTCTGCCAATTCACGACATAGTGGCTGAATGGTCTACGAGCTCGTCTTGTAGTCAGAAGGTTCCGGGTTCAAACCCTGGGGGTGGGTGCTTACTGATGAAGAGCCCCAAACTAGGGCGAAACAGTTGTCCAGTACTCCCAGGTTTTCTAATGGTTCTGCAACTGATGTCAGCTCATGATGAAATCGTCCAACCAATCAAACAAAATCCCTACGAAAACCAATACTTGAACATCGTCTTTTTCCGTTTACTATTCATGTTAATTTTCGCAAAAGTAGTAAACTTTCATCACTGATAGAAAAGTAAGTATTATGTCAGTATATTGTTATAGTTTAAAGCCTTTACCAATTGATTAATCCGAGTGATTCTTTTTTTTCACCTAGGCTTCAGTTAAAATGTCATTATCACAACCATTGCGTAATCTTTATGGAAATGACACAACGACAAATTCCAATTCAACTACTGATAATCACCGCCAGAAACAAGAGCATCATCAAAAGATTGATGACAGTTTTATATTCACTAGTAGTGCTAAAAGCACTCAATGTATATCTCCTAAACCTATTTTACTTTCAAGTTATGAACAGGATGGTCTACTTAGTCCATTTCGTAAGACACAATTAAATTATTTATATGATGAAAATATTAATATCAATGAATATTTTCCAATATCATCTAATAATTATAATACATTTAGTCAATCTTATACATTTAACAATCATACTATAAGAGAATGGTGGTTAGATTTAATAGATGTACGATCTGATTACTTTCCAATATGTACTGGAGAATGGTCTTTTAACTACTCGAATAAACATCTATGGCAAAATCGTAACAGAATGTCATTTGTATTACCAAAACCAGTTGAAGATTTCATTGCTAAACATGATGAAAATTTATCTAAAGCATTAGATCATCGTGGTGTAGTGTCTCATTCTGAAGATGACAGAAATCCTTCAACTGGTAAGTATATATATATATGTATGTATGTATATAATTTGCCTTCATTTCTGTTTTTTTCCTTCACGTTCCCCAGTGGAACATTGGGCTTCAAGCTAGTGGCTTGAAATTTCTGTAGCAGTGGTGCTTATTTTTACAGGATGGGGTTGCTAGCCTCATGCCCAACCTTCCCTCTTTACCAACATTATTTCTGGCTTAACGAGGTAAAGGAGTGCGTCGGCCGGGGATCGAACCCCAGACCATGTGCATGGTCGGCGAGCGTCCTAAGCGTTATGCCACCGACGCAATTTCTGTTTTACAGTATACGTATTATATTTCATTTGTGTACACCTATAAAGGTTTTTAAGCTTCGTACAGAAATGTTTTATTCAGTTGAAAAGATTTTGCTTTCTGACTTTAACTAGTTTTGTAAATAAAAAAAATTATCTACCCATCCTTTTTTTAAAATACATTTTATTTTCTGTTTCGTGTATTCTAAGGAAAATACTCAAGTAATTCGGTATAAACTAGTAGAGAATTATTGTACGACCTAATGGAGGTCAATTTTGGTTGAATACGAGATCTTGTCAACCAAATAGGCTATAAATGAGACATTTCGACCCACGGGGTACACATGATATTTTCATTCCAAGTGAAGAAGCTTTTGATGTTGTTGTGTTCTCTGAGCTGGATAGTTAATTTGCGAAGCTCTCATCACCCTACTGGGTGACATCTTCAGCGCATACTTCAATTTGAAGTCACTTCACTTCAAATTGAAGTGAAGAAGCTGACGATGTACATTCCTTCAAAAAAATACCATAAAAGGCAATTTGTGTATGCTTAACGTGCTGCAGTTTGCCTTTGTCAAGTTTATTGCATGATAAAATGTGAAGTTGTTAGATGCCACTGACTTATTTAGCGTTGTAAGGCGGCTTTCATATGTCGTACTCACGCAGAGCCAGTCATTGTTTTTGTCTATCATCAACGATATTGACAAGAAATGGATTAGGTTGAGAGAGAGAGTCGGGAGTGACTAAACTATGACATACAAGTGAATTTAAATATAGGTTGCTTAGCCAGTGTCTCCGTAACACTAAAATTGAATAGATGGAAACTTGATAAAATGTTTGATTTATTTTGTGTTTCCCTTTGATTGATTTGTAATGGAGTAGAACGCTCAGTCTCTGTTGACATGTTGGTTCCTAGTACGGGTGCTTCGACGATGTCTCTGATGGTTGATGGTGACTGAGAGTAAAAATCGAGGTACATCCAGTGACGGGTCCCAAATAGGACGAAATGTGCATCGTGGATTCCGCTGCTAGCCAGCCATCATCAACTGAATAATAACTTAATATGATGTCTCACAATTGTTAGCATTAAAGCATTCGGTACAGTCGGCTTTCTGTATCACTTTGTGATGAGCGTGTCTTATAGTTGTAAATTTCTGATTATTTGGGAAGTTTGTAAACCACCTTAATTATTATCATATCCTATCAGTGATCTCAGGAAATTAGAACTTCTATTTGAGCTGTTTACAGGTATATCCTATGATTCATCTATTTACATGGTTCCGGGTATAATTTGTACCAAGTATAAGTCAGGGCGTCAGGCCCTCAAGTGGAACCCGAAAGGGAAGCGGCGAGTGGGACGTCCAAGGGTGACATGGAGGAGATCGTGTGAAGAGGAGATGAAACAGTATGGAATAACATGGACGCAAGTGAAAAGTACAGCAGAAGACAGAAGCAAGTGGAGACGTGCAGTTGAAGCCCTATGTTCCACTAGGAACCCAAGGGAACAATAATAATAATAAGTTCTGTAAACAACGTTGTATAATGTATTCATTTATCTCAAATATACATCGATATGTATTTATCTTTACAACATCTACATCGAAGCGTAAGGTCTTATACTGTTCTCCAATTATTTTGTTTAGTATGTCGGTGTTTCTTGTATTCAATTACCCTCCGAATTTTGTGAAAAGAAAAGCCTGAATTCATATTATCTGAAGAGGAACAACTCCACGTTAATTCAAGCGTATACACATATTTCCGAAAATGATAATTTAATACCTTGTTAGATTAGAAAGTAACTAAAGGTCATACGAGCAATTTATTTGTCTCATTTTGAAGAAAAATATTTGCAACAAGATTGTAGTGTCCTGCATACTGTTTTGTTTATCTGGAGAATGTTCAACAACACATATCAGAATGGTTTATTTATGATCACAAAGAATTGTATTAAGGCTAAAAGTATTGTGATAGGAATTTGATTAGATTGTTTGCAGTAAAGCGAGGACGCCGTCTCTCTCTCTCTCTCTGGATTCAACATAGAACTTGGCACCGAAGTGCAGCAGTTCGAGTTGCTACGTTCCAAATAACACAGAAAGGTAGACAAGAAGATGAGTGAAGAGAATCAGTAGAGTTTTGACAAGTATAATAGTGGAACAGAATGAGTAATGGTAGAAAGGAATATGAAGGATTACAGAGACTGAATACATCGCCATTGATAACGATTTTGAGCCATGTCACCTATTGTCTCCAGCCATTGATTCTTAGAGTCCCGAGGGCCCCAACCCGGAAGTCTGCATCTCCCTACCTGACTCAGTTTAACTGTCAAGGATTTCATGGATTGATGCCATGTTTTTGTTTGGCCACCACTTACTCTTTTCCAGCCTGCACCTATATCAGCTGTCCAATTCAACCAATGATTTCACATATTTTCCGCGTTAAATTTCATCCTATTATTAATTACCTCTTATGTATATATTTATTTCTAGATCTAAGAGTGGATTCTGTCGTTGAAATTGAAGATTCAGATACAGAAAAACCTCTTTGCTTACATTGTTGTAATCCAAGTCAAAGTATTAAATGGCTTGTTAAAGTCTGTGCAATGGTTTGCGGAGCGTCAAACACTAAATCACTTATCACTGAAATTGAATGCTTGGAACGTTTGTTTAAGTGGAATGCACCACAAATATGCTCCGCAACACTATCTGGAAATGAATTACGTCATGCTGACTATGCACTTCTATCATTTTTTGATTTGAATATTGATGCCCCTATGCTATCAGAAATTGTAAATCATGATAGAGTTGGAAATACATGATCTATTTTTCTCACTCGCGCCATTATATGTATAGTAGTATTCTTAATATTATATTTGTTTTTTTGTACAATTTGTACAGAGAACAAGCTTAGTTTTACTCACACCAATCTATCGTTTTACTTATTTATTATATAACTTGTATAGTTTTGATAATTGCAAACAGAAACAAATTATACATATGATAGCTTTTCCTTGTAAGCTCATATATGGTGTTTAATAAAAACGGAAGTGAAAAAAGTCAATACTGGTAGGGTGTCCCCATGTTAGATATCTTATATATTTGATAAAACATAAGTTGACCTAGTACTAATCAATGGCTGAAGTTACTGCGTACGGTGTCTTGCTTTTATGAGGTCATAGACAGTAGGTCGTGCGTTTAGAAAGCAAAAGGATTGAGCGAAGAAATATTTACTTTGCAATTAGATCCTCATCTCTGGCTCTACTCTAATATACATATATATGTGCATAATTTTGGAAAAATGAAGAATAATTAAGGAATAAGTGTGTGCTCAAGTTGATTACGTAACAGACTGTTAAAGTAAATCAAGATGAAGTAGTCAGCGAAATAATAATAATTTGGACAAATATAATTTTTAAAGGTTTAGGGAGTGGGGGGCGAAGTAATCCGTTTTATACATTCATGTAATGATGACCAAGGTAAGGAAAGTGGCTGTACAATTTTTTTCTGAACTCACAGGTTTGGCTTCTTCAGGTGGATTACTATTGCTCTAGCTGTATGTAGAAGACGAACTCGTAAAGCGAAATTAAGATTAGTAGGAATGCGATAAATAATTTTAGATGCTGTATTAACGTCAACTTTATGGTCACTATCTAAAAGGTGTGCTAGACTAGAGCTACGAGTATATCTTGTTTGTCACTTGTTTAACCATGATGGATGATGTTCGGAAACACGATGATGAACGTGCCTAATTGTACGCCTTATGTAGCTACAGTCTAACTGGTAGATACACATAGAAGAGACAAATTTAAGTAGTTTATCCTTATTTCTCGTACGTAGACTAGAGGTGGTAGTGGAGAGAACGTGCTTCTGGTGCATTATAAGTCTTCGGAACTGCACTCTTCAGGCGCTATGTTATTATTTCGCTGATACTGTCACCGAGGAACTGCACTTACATGAACGGTGGTTTTTTCGAACTTGTTGCCATACTGACTCTCTTAGGTGCTGAATTCATATTTTTCTCAATGAACTTTTCTGGGTGCCCATTTTTATAAAGTAATTCTCTAGTAATCTTAAGCTCTTCATTGAGGCAGTCGTTTGAACAGATTAACCTAGCTATATGAACTAGACACTTTACCAGGTTACGTTTATATTTCAAAGGTGCAAAACTCAAAAAATGAGCCTACTGACTTGTAAGTTTTCTATACTCCACTCTTTAATGTACCATCTTCTTCCCTCGTCAGGAAGACGTCTAGGAATGAGATACTGTCATTACTTGCTTTCTCTATGGTAAAGTTTATTGCCGAATGGACATCATTAAACTTGTCGAGGACGTTCATTGCTTCATTCTCCTTTCTCATAATTAGAAATGCATCATCCATATATTGACAGTAGAATTCCAACTCATTAATTACTCCTTTCAGTGATCCATTTTCTAACTTAGCGAGGAAAATATCAGCTAGGATTGGACCTAATGGGGAGCTCATAGCTACACCATCAGTTTGTATGTAATATTCCTTATTAAATAAATGAACATTCACTGTACATCTTAAAATAAGTTCCTTCAAGGAGGATACAGAAATGCCGATGTCTATGTTTTGCGTAGTAATCTCACCACATATAAAATACACTGTCTCCGTTAACGGTACATTGGTGAACAAGAAGGATACAACAAAAGATATCATAAACTTGTCATTCACATTGAGATCTCTTATTTTTTCGACAAATTCAAAACTACCGTCTACACTTTTACCAATTCGTTATGCAGAGGTTTCAGGAGCTTCACCAACCATTTCATTGTTACGTGACATAGGAAACTACACATGTCCAGCGCTGGTCGAAGTGGCAAACCAATTTTATGCACTTTTAATAGTCCATATACTGTTGGTGTAACCGTGCCAGTAGGCTTTAGAGATCCATATAAACCTTCTGCGGTGCTATTTTGTTGTTTAAGTCTTTTTAGTGACTCAATTAGTTGTTACTGAACTTTTTCAGTCGGATCAACGGAAGATGAAATTTTCGGTGATCACTGAGTATTTCATTCATCTTATTCATGATTACTACTCCAGAACCTTTATCAGGTTTCGTAATTATTATATTCTCATTATTTCGTAGCTTATCCAGGGCTTCCCTATGTTTCTTGGTTAATAAGCTATTTAGTTTCCGTTTGCTATTTATATATTTATAACAATGGTCGACGAGAGTTGATTTAAGACTTTCAGCTGACGAAGGTATCAAGCCTTCAGCTTGTGTATACAGTATTCATATGACTTTCAACGCGGATGACTGAATTGGATTGGAGATTCGGATACAGCGAAAACTTTACCTACATTGTTGTAATCCAAGCAGAAGTATAAAAGTCTTGTGAAGGTTTGTACGGCAGTCAGCGGAGCGTCGAACACTAACTCAGTATTCCCATCGAGTGGAAATAACAATCCAAGAAGTGATAAATGAGTTTTCTGGCCGACATAATAACGGTGTTGAGAATCAACGGTCAGGTAACGTGAACGATCTAGGTGTGAACCGACTAGTAGTAGTGATTCATTCCATCTTCTCTGGAACACTCCTACGTATAGGCTTTTCTTTTGCAAGTTGCTTACACACGTTATTCATATATATATAGCTTCCGCGCGATATGTAACCAAACTACTCATCACCCAAAAAACTGGTGGTGTTAGATGTACGGTAAAGGTCCTTTAGAGCATCTTTATGAGTAATGATATGAGGTGGAAATTTAGAAGGATGTGAGATCACTAGATTACTCTGGTGACGTAATTGTATTAAGATGGCTTCGTTTTGTGAAGTCACCTGATGAAATAGTATTTCTGGACATATTGCTTCAGAGAGCATAAGGCAACCGTAATATCTCACTACAGTTTCTCCAAGCATCTGCTGACTAGCAGCATCAGAATTCCAGTTGAATCATCTGAGTGCTAAGAACAAGGAGTCATCACTTAATAAATAGTATGGTGTTTTACTGTTTTAACTTGGAGTACCATTGGTCAATGCGAATTCACGGTTTAATTGAATTAAGCCACAACCCCTAAAGTACCACTCAAGGCGAACTATGTTAATAAGGAATATTAATATAAACTTGTACAAGAGTCGGTGGGTTCGATTACTGCATCCCATACTTTTGAGTTAATAGCCAGTTCCGGACGAGCCGCCATGCAATAAAGAAGCGTATCTAATGATTCCAGACACTTCTTGGGAGGCTTGGAGCAGAGTGGAAATCCACAACACCTAGTACCTCCATACTCAGTTGTTGAAATAAATCATATGCTCTCAAGACAGCGATTCTTCCCCTAAGAAGGTAGGACTAACAAAAGTTATTTCCATCACAATACTTCCCGCAAAACGAATATGAATAGCAGAATCGTGAGTATTTAGCGAATAAAACTGGTTGTCATCCTCTGGGGTACGTCACATTTGTTTCTGCGCCCTAAATGACGCCAGAAAACACCACGTCTCTTCCATAAACAAAGTTTAGTGATTTTAGACATCATGATCTTAGGCTTTAACGAGCAAGCAACTTCGTCATGTAAGTTGTTTACTAAATGATACTTCAGAACGTGTCGCTTACATAGTTGCTATCTATTTTTGAAATTCAGAACTAAGAAAATATTTTTGAGAATACCCCATCAAGAGTTAAAAATGTGATTTTCATATAACTGAGTGATTGTTGTCATCTATTTCGATGGTGAGGCAGAATGTGGGACTAGACTGCGATACTTAAGGTGTATTGAAAGGCACCACATTTTAAAAACATATTTACTGAGGAAAGTCAAAAAAACAATACAAAGTAATTAACTGTGACTAATTATCACGATATTGCTAACTAAAGAACAATAAATTTTACATACAGATACCATGTAAGATATAAAACCAGCACTCAAAAGAGGAATTCTTATGTCTATGAGATAAAAATTTGTACAAGAATCGTCATGTGTTAGGCGTTCACAAAGCCACAAGGGAATATCTGTGAGGCATATACAGTAAGAGCCAACAGAGTGATGAGCGTTTGACCCATGCTTTATTCAATTAGCTTCTTGGACTTGAAATAACGCCTCAAATACAAAACTTGCCAACATGCGAAACCAATGAGGATAATCATTGAAAGTGTTGAGAAATAAAGAACTCTTTTGTGAGTGGATTCTAGAAAAAATTTTAAGAAATTAGACATTAAAACGCATACTATGTAAAGTATAATGCAAATCAAAATAACAGTGCCACAGCTGACAACATAGATAAGATACTTTAGCTTTTGTATTCTCACCCGGAAGTCTAGAGGTCATGGAGTCAATTACTTACGAAGTAGTGTGTTTTTTGTGAATGACGGCCTCCAAATGGACGCCAGTGCATTGTGAGAGGTCACTTAAGGCTTATTATACGTGAAGAGATATAAGAATACTTGAAGCTCATACGTACTAAATTAAAAACATAATTCTTACATCAAAATTTACTACTTACCGTGGTCATTAAGACCGTGATTCACAGTTGGGCACACTTCGCTAGTCCACGGAATTGTAACATGAATACCGTGACCAGGTAATATAATTAGGTGTGATAGTACGTTGGCGACCAACCAGGAACCTACTGCCAAACAAATGTGCAGATGGACTGGACATACGCTTATGAAATCGTTGTAAGGCATCAAGCGCCGGGTCTTAGATTAGAGCTCGAGTGGGAAACAACGATTTGGGCGTCTGAGGTCGACGTGAAGATCATTTGAGAGAGCTTGTAGGTAATACGGAGAGCCAGCCAAATAGGACTGCAGAGGACAGAATGAAACAGATGTGCAGCCGACGCCTTGAGTCCCACT